AGATGAAGCAGATGGTGTGGCACGAGGTGGAGCAGATGGGGCGGCACGAGGTGGAGCAGACGGCGCGGCGCGCGGTGGAGCAGATGACGCAGCACGAGGTGGACGATACACTGGAGGAGCCGGTACAGGCTGAGGTATAGCAGGAGGAGGAGGCACTTGGAACTCGTTTTGATAGTCGAATCCAGGGTTTGCCCGTGGTACACCCAAGAGCGCACGATACGGGTTTTCCAAGCAGTGGACCACCAGCGGGTCCGTGTAATTGATAACAGGAATAATGAGTTTCTTGTCCAGGAATAAATCTGGGAACGATTTCCTCATCGCATTCTTGACGACAACTAACATAGTCGGACTGAGTATGCATCATTCAACAGCAAAGCAGGGATTACTTACTAGTATATGCACATGAGTGCGTCGAAGGTGAAAGCGCGTCCACAACCATTCCATTAACCTGTCGATTGAGATGGACCTTAATGCGACATTTTTCAAGGTCGTTCGTAGGCACGGCCGCGTGAACACAAAATATATCGTAAGGAAGGAAATCGTTCAGTCTGTCCGCGCCAATTTCTGAAGCACTGTAGTTTCCATGAATTTTAACGGGCCTAATAGTACAAAATTGAAGTTAGTACTAGACTAGTGTTGCAGTCAGAAAACACGTACCGAGGCAATCCGATTAGATCAGCTTTGTCGCGGTCGTACGAAGCCAGCCATCCACGGTCAAACAAGTTTTTCAACAAGTTCTTATAAACTGTACCCCACGGATGCGGCGGCTCTCGCAGACCAGCTTGCGCCGGCGACGGAAGAGGAGGCATCTTGACGGTGGTGGTCCGAGAGAACTAAAGAACTAAGACGCGTAATCTGCCAGAAGGCAGTCGAAAATGGTTATATTGAGTGACTATCGAAGGGGTGGGGCGAAGCACGAAGATATAAAGCGAGTAGAAGGCAAGACGCGCCTAAGGAATAGCACGGGAGGATCCGCGGGTGTCGGGAGGGACACCCACGCCCGTGCCCGCCGCGGGTTAACACCCGTACCATATGGGTACGGGCTACGCGGGTTTGCTAACCCATGGGTCAGCCCATGGGTTCTCACCCAAATCCATTCATGCCCGACGAGCATCCCCGGGCAATGGCACGGGGACGCTCAGTCGCGCATGATGCAGGACTGAGGGTGATGGCAGTAGTGGGAATGGTGACGGAGATGGTGCTGGTCGCGTCGTCGTCGTCGTCTCGTCACCGCATCCTCCGTGAGTCCCAAGGTCCGGCTTCCCCAAATCCTTATGCAGAGCATCAATAATCTTCTGCGTATTATCCTTGAGCCTATACCCAATCTGCAGAGCAGATATTTGGGAAATGGGATGCTTTGCCAGTGCGAAACGTCGCATCAAACTGCGCGTGAATCTGAAAGTAGAGATATTAGAATATTCAGTGCTATTCGACGTGGAACGAACCGCGACTATCTCAGAAATGGGCATGTAGGCCAAGGTCATCATGGTGGTAGGAACTAAAGAAGGTAACAAGCAACAGTTGATGGAGATTAAACAAACGTTACCGTGTCCCGCGTCCCGCAGGCGGCAGCCTCATCACCTCAACCTCATCACTGGGTCCCGCATCCTTATCATCGCCATCTTCGTCGTCATCCATCATTGTCGTCGTCGGTATCATCAACGTCCAGTCGTCTGTGGTGGTCGTGGTCGTGGTGGGTTCGTTGTCGTCCTTGGCTGCTGTCACAGAGACAGCAGCAAGAAGTCTGGTGAAGAGCCAGGGCGAGAAGTAACACCCCGGAGGCCGCCTGACCGTTGTCAGAGCGGCGGTGGCGAAGACTGTCGCTCACTCAGTGGTGATCATAAGAGAGAGAGAGAGAGACTCGATCGAACGCTGACGCGTCATCTCGGATCTCGGCCCTAAACGCCGGATCGCGAGAAATTGACGCGCATGTCTTGTTTGGGGCCCGTTTACTTCAGAAAAAAATTGTAAATTAACTTTAAATATATATCTACATTTTCATACTCGCGCCTCTAAGCAGCACTTGCCTAAATAGGCAGTACGGGTTGGTGCGGGTGCAGTGGGCTGCCCACGGGTGTCTAGCTCACGACCCACACCCGTGCCCGCGCCAACCCGTACCCACAACCCACGCCAACCCACGAAACCCGTGCTGTTCCCTAGACGCGCCATTGCCATTTCTAGCGTGAGGGCGCGATAGCCCGATCATCTAAAAATATTGAATTACCGGTTGCTGCTCGGACCGACTCGGACCTGTCAACGGGACCTGTAAGAAGAAGAAGCAAGAGAAAGGGGTCAGGGCGAGTAAGACGACGAAAGTGTCCCCTCCCTTCTCGCTGCTCACTTCGCCCAGTCGATTGTTGGCTTATCGCTATCGTTATCTTGCCGGCGCATTGCCGGTCATGAGGTTTGATTCGCAGAGTTATTTATAAAGTCGGCGTTCCCGCTTGAGAGCTTGAACTTCAACCACCATGTCAGACGACAAGCACGCACATCCGGGCGAACAGTCTCGAGGAACCGACGTGGGCGAGGACGACAGCGATGTCGTCGTCGTTGATTGGGATGGGCCGAACGACCCGGAGAACCCGAAAAAGTACGCGAGATCTATATTCCGTGGTGGAATGGGCGACTGATTCAGGGTAATGCAGCTGGTCGTATGAGAAGAGATGGCGTGCGACGATTGCGGTGTCGTTGTTTACATTCGCGAGTACGGTCACGTCGTCGGGCATAGCGCCTGGGAGCAGCAAAATTGCGGAGGAATTTGGGATCACCAGTCAACCGATAGTTGCAATGACCGTGTCGATCTTTGTGCTCGCCTATGGTAGCTTTCATCTTCCTCTTGATCTCCCTTGCGCGTTCTTTGTACTTACGCGATTCTAAAGCAATTGGGCCTTTGGTTCGTCTTTGAAACTAGAACACACTCAGGCTACTAATATCGCCTAGTTCATGGCGCCTCTTAGCGAAATCTACGGCCGTACTAAAGTCATTCAGCTCTCCAATCTCTTCTTCTTTGGTGAACTTCTTCGTACTCCTGGAATAGATGAAGCTAACTTCCATTTATAGCTTGGAACATGGCCTGCGGTTTTGCACAAAACAAAACCCAGCTCATCATATTTCGTTTCCTTGCTGGTCTAGGCGGTAGCCCACCGCTTGCAGTAGGTATGGGTGTACTCGGCGACATGTGGCGCGCAGAAGAGCGTGGCCGAGCAAGCGCGACATATTCACTAGCACCTCTCATGGGCCCCGTCATTGGCCCTGTCATCGGCGCGTGGATTTCGGCGCGTACGACGTGGAGATGGGTGGTGAGCATTCCTTCTTCCTACAATGTATACTCTTAATCGCTCCTAGTTCTGGTCAACGTGCATATTCGCCATGGCCGTGCAAGTCATGGGATTGTTTTTCTTACGCGAAAGTGAGCGTGTTTTGCATGTTATCGGCTATTCGGTTCATCTTTTCCCGGTGTTCACAGCGTTCGCTCCTGTGCTACTAGAGCAGAAAATCGCGCGGTTGCGTAAAGCGGAGGAGCCGGAGAAGGGAGCGCGGAGGTATAGAACCGTGTTTGAAGCGTCAGAGACGCGAAGGTAATGTGGGAACAGCTACTTCTAGCTAATTTGCTAACGTCCAACTAGCTGGCAGCACATCTTCTCGAAAGCCCTACGCCGCCCATTTGCCCTGTTCATGCACGAGTCCATCGTTCAGCTTCTGGGACTGTACATGGCATTCATCTATGGTATATTCTACAGTACGTCCTACTCATCCATTTCGCTCCACACTAGTTCACGTCTACGCGCTAGTTTACCTGACGACTATACCCACCATATTCCGAGACGTCTACCACCACCCGCCGGGCGTAGCTGGGCTACACTACTTCGCGCTCGGGATCGGGTTGATATTCACTTCACAGCTCAATTCGCGTACAATGGATACGGTGTATATTTACCTGAGAGACAGGAATGGGGGCATCGGGGAGCCAGAGTTTCGCATTCGTGAGTTACGCACTGGGTCATTGGCATCAACTGACTGGTTCACAGCATCAATGTTCCCAGCATCGGTGTTATTTCCTATCGGGCTCCTCGTCAGTGGGTGGGCGGCCGAGAAGCAGCTTCATTGGATTGTGGTCGACGTGGGGATGGCGCTTGTGGGCGCAGGTATGATTCTTAGCTTTCAGAGTATTCAGACGTATTTGGTGGATACATTTACCCTGTTTTCTGCTTCCGGTTAGTGAACTCGCCTTCCGATGCAGCTCGATATTGACCGTGAATGCAGCGTTAGCAGCAGTGACATTTATCCGGTCGGTATTTGCATTTGGGTTCCCGCTCTTCGCGCCGGCCATGTATGCGAAGCTGGGATATGGGAAAGGTGATACGATTTTGGCCGTGTTGGCTATCGTCATCGGATGTCCTTCGTGAGTACCTGACTAAAGTTTGGAGACAATTCTCATCGTGCTCTTGAGGCCTTTCTTGTTTTGGAAATACGGCAAGGCCGTTCGAATGAGAAGTCGACATACGATGAAACCAGCTGTATCATAATGTCTACGATGGCTGTATGAAACTAAGTATATAGACGCAGATCATGTACAAAGATACGATATCTGTGAGAATAGAGCAAATAGTCCGGTCACAATATTCATTTTGATGTGGCACTGAATACCTGTTCCTATGTTACTATATTGGAAACCGCGTACGCTAACCAGGGACCTTGTCGGCCGCTTCGCGGCCTCGAAACGTAGCGCCACATCTCACGACCTTGAAAGTCTTGGTTCGCAGGCTAAGAAGTCTCCTAGGGGTGGTTGGTCCATTTACTCTTTATTTTCTGTATATTTAGCTTGCCTTTGTGTCGGCTACGACGGTTCTAGTTTCGCATGTCGTGCTCTTTTCTGGTCGCTCAAGAAGGTCGGCAGCCGTCGGCTTAGCAGGACTTGCCTTCGACGTAGGGGCGCGGGCACAGATGCTGTGAATTCATGGAGCCAGGAGGATTCAGTCGCACATTCAGAGCCAAAAAGATACACCGAAGGGGAGTCGAACCCCTGCCGCTTGCTTGAGACAATCCAGCTGTAGATGGAAGGCAAGCATGATAACCGCTTCACCATCGGTGTCTGCAATGTAAGGGCAGGTGTTAAAGCTCTGGGCTCTGTAAAACTGCCAGCTTCCAAACGCAGACCACGCTCGTTGTCTGTTGTCTTCCTCCACCATGTCGATCTCTTTGCTCACCGTCACGCTCGCTCTAGCCGCCGTCGTCAACGCTGCGATCTACCCAACCCAGCCGGTGCGCGACACGGTGTACACTGCTGGGCAGCCCGCCGTGCTCGAATGGAACGACGATCCCCCATCAGGACCCATGGGACCGTTCAAGGTCGAGCTCTTTGCCGGCGAACACGTACGCGCCTTTGTTTTATCGCTCTGCAGAGCCTTTATCACTGTTGTCTAGACTTATATCACGACTTTGGCGCGTAATGTTGATCCAGAATCCGGGACATACACGGTCTACCTTTCTCGCGACCTGCCGTACATCGGAAACGTCTAGTAAGTCGTTTACCTTTGATTTGACGCAAGGCGTTTATTTGTAGCACTATGCGCATGATCTCTGCAAAGCCCCACAAGATCGTCTACACCTCCAACTTTACCATCCAAGGCATCGTCCAAACCCAATCCTCGGAAACCTACTCTGAAGCGCAGCTCGCCTTTCAGGCCTCCTCTATACCTAGCGTCTCCTCAAACTCTTATACCCTCACGCCCGCAACAATCTCCTCCTCAATCGCAGATGTCAGCTCTGCCACTACCATATCCGAGGTCAACTCGGCTTCGCGACGCCTAGATCTCGACCTCAATCGCTTTGTCGCTATTCTATGGCCAGCACTTGTAGGCATATCCATGGCGATGTAGACGGACATTTTCATCTCCCTGCACATGTATTTCTATCCCACTGTATCCATTACTACTCAAGGCATCTCTGTTTGTTAACCACTCAGCCAAGTCCCCGCGTTGAGTATATCCGTCAACCAGACCTCTTTCCAGGTATGAGACGGTCACGACAAGTAGTAATGAAGCTGCCGCAATGGAATGAATCGGCGGGCATAACAGCCGTTTCAGTGTATAGCGGTAGAGTTGCCGAACAACCGTGTAGTCTGAGCATGCGTCGAAGGTACAGTCCTTAGAGGCTCCGCACCACGTACGTCCACTAAGTATCACTCTAATTACTATAGCGCTCTACTAACACATCAAAGGATTGCCTATATAATTTGGGCAATTCCATTGTAGCCATCATGACACAACTGGCTTCATCGTATGTCGACTCCGCATCCTTACATCCTTGCCGTATTTCCAAAACAAGAACGGTCTGGAGGGCACGATTAGGATCGCGCGTGGCATACGTTAGTCGGGAACTCACGAAGGACATCCAATGACAATCGCCAACACCGCCAAAACCGTATCGCCCTTCCCATAACCCAGCTTCGCATACATCGCCGGCGCAAACAAGGGAAACCCAAACGAAAACACCGACCGCATGAATGTCACTGTTGCTAATACTGAATTCACGGCGATCAGCATTAGGACAGATGAGAAGTAGAGGCCCACTAACCAGATGCGGCGAACAGTGTGAAAGTGTCAACCAAATACGTCTGAATGCTCTGAACGCTCAGTATCATACCCGCGCCTACAAGCGCCATCCCGAGGTCAACCACCACCCAATGAAGCTGCTTCTGCGCCGCCCACCCACTCACGAGGAGCCCGATGGAAGTATCACCGACCCAGGAAACATCGACGCTACGAATCGGTTAGCCGATGTTAACCAACGAGCGAATTAAACTCACGAATCCGAAACTCTGGCTCTCCAATACCGCCATTCCGGTCTCTCAAATAAATATACACCCTGTCCATGGTGCGCGCATTAAGCTGTGAAGTAAATATCAACCCGATCCCGAGCGCGAAGTAGTGCAGCCCAGCTACGCCCGGTGGGTGGTGGTAGACGTCTCGGAATATGGTGTGTATAGTCGTCAGATATACTAGCGCGCGGACGTGAACGAGCGCGGAGCGATATCGATGAGGAGGACGTACGGTAGAAGATGCCATAGATGAAGGCCATATACAGTCCGAGAAGCTGAACGATGGACTCGTGCATGAACAGGGCAAAGGGCCGGCGTAGGGCTTTCGAGAAGATGTGCTGCCAGCTAGTTGTACGTTAGCAAATCCGCTAGAAGTAGTAGCCATTACCACATTACCTTCGCGTCTCTGACGCTTCGAACACGGTTCTATACCTCCGTGCGCCGCCCTTCTCTTCATCCTCCTCACTGCGCAGCTTCACAATTTTCTTCTCCAGCAGTACAGGAGCGAATGCTGTGAGTACCTAGATAAGGTGAACCGAACAGCCGATATCGTGCAAAACACGCTCACTTTCTCGTAAGAGAAAGAATCCCATGACTTGAACGGCCATCGCGAATATGCTTGTAGACCAGAACTATATATCGACAGTTACTCAGAATGCGCTGTGCATGAGAGATGACTACTCACCACCCATCTCCACGTCGTACATGCGCGTAATCCACGCGCCGATGACGGGTCCAATGACGGGGCCCATGAGAGGGCTAGTGAATACGTCGCGCTTGCTCGGCCACGCTCTTCTGCGCGCCACACGTCGCCAAGCACGCCCATGCCTACTGCAAGCGGCGGGCTGCCCCTAGACCAGCGAGGAAACGAAATATGATGAGTTGGGTTTTGTTTTGTGCAAAACCGCAGGCCATGTTGAAAGCTAAGTAACAAACTTAGCGCTAGATATGCGATGAATGGGAAGAAGGTCACCGAAGAAGAAGAGATTGGAGAGCTGGAGGATGAGCGTACGACCGTAGATCTCACTAAGCGGCGCCATGAACTAGGCGATATTAGTAAACACAATGTGCACTCGGGCTGAAAAGACGAACCAATGGCCCGATTGCTACGAAAGTTCTGTGAGTAGAAGGACCATTCAACAAAGACGAAACCCACCATATGCCAGAACAAATATCGACACGGTCATGGCAACCATCGGCTGGCTCGTAATGCCAAATTCCTCAGCAATCTTCCTACTGGCAGGCGCAATCCCCGACGACGTGATCGTGCTCGCGAATGTGAACAGCGACACCGCAATCGTCACCCGCCACCTCTTCTCATACGGCCAACTGCGCGTTCTCAAAATCAGTATCCACCGGACAAAAGAGAGATCTTGCATACTTCTTGGGATTTTCCGGGTCGTCCGGTCCATCCCAGTCGACGACGACGACATCGCTGTAGTCCTCGCCCACGTCGGTCACGGTTTGCTGCGACTTTCCACCTGTCTCGTCTGACATGGTGCTTCGAGTTCAAGTTGAAGTTTGGTGGTTCATGGGCGCCGACTTTTATAGATGGATAAATCTGTTAATCGCTCCTCATGGCTGGCGATGGGGCTTGGATGTGAACGATGCCAAGTGAGAAGCGAGAAGTTAGGTCCTAAAGGAGAGAACTGACAACTCAGAGGGGAAGGCCGGGGGGTAATAGAGTGGATGCGGTATTGAGGGAAGCTTCGCCAAGGTCAATCTCTGTCTGTGACGCGGACCACTCTCTGCGGACCTTGTTCGCAGAATAAGCAAACGACTTGAAGCATGAAGCGAAGAAAAAAGCCACGTAAAATGAAGCAAGGCTTCGGATGCATAGACCAGGTCGACCCACACTCACCTGTTTGATTTTTCAAGTGCCAAGACCTGACCTGTTCTTCGACGGGGAGAAGTAATCGCCGGGCCAGTACATTGAGGCGCATTTAGATACCGATGCGTCAACTGGGAATCCTGAAGTGACGATTTAGCAAGAAGACTCGGATGCCGGTAAACAGTACCTCGGAGCTGTACACATGTATGGAGCTGCGCCGACTCTTGGCGACATGCAGTAGCGCCTGCGCTAATACGTACTGAAAGGATAGCAGAATCCCGTCATCCGAAGGCGCGGAGTCTGGCACACCGAGTGGGAATGTCACATGAAAGCCCTGTGGCGCTTCTGCGCAGTACTTTTGCGTCTCAACACAAACGGGCCCATAAGAGTGAATATTCGAAGGCTCACGAGCGTAGGAACATCTGTCGAGTGATGGTTGAAGACAAGGTATAAACCCACGTGATCGTGAGTCATTCTCAAAACAAATTGAAATTGATCCGATTCCGAAACGTGTGCTGGTCCCGAACGAAGTGCTCGATTCCTGGATTCGTGTGGCGCAGATCACTACGACTCGTGTTACTGCCAAGTGTTTTTCGAAAACGCCACCGCGCTCCGCCAAGCCGTCGTCTTCAACACCTTCTGGCTAGGATTCGCGTTGAAGGCACCACCACCACTCATATGGACCTGGTGCTCTATGATGTGGCAGCGTGCCTTGAAGTTGACTTCGAAAAGGGTCTGAATCTCCGTAAATGCCGGTTACCAGTGGACGCTCACATATATTCAGTGCGATGTCCGTGCGCTTTACACTTCAACTTGTCGGTGGCGACACAAATAGACTGACGACTTGTCAGGCTATATGATATAAATTGCTCTGTCTTTCTCTGTGCGAACAATAGGTTGGATCGCGTTACAGGGCACTCCGGCACCCGACAACCGGAAAGAATTTCCGATTAACATCGCACACGCTTCCGAACATCGCGTATCGCAGTGACGCGCAACAGCGCGCGTTCGTGTCAGGTATCCACTTGCGTAGGCTTTGAGGTTCTAGCTGAATGCCAAGGATGCACTGCAGCGCATCGGCACTCTAACCAGGTAAGGACTTTTTTGATGCATTCTTACTTGGCTTGGATGTGGTCGTCGCTACCAGTTGTACGGGTAAAGACTATGGCAAGGCTTCTGTCTATGCAGCCTCCTAATCTTGTTATAGACCGCGTGCATACGACTTTCTTCTGCAGACGAAGGCATCATCAATTACTCGGCATGGACTCTTACAGATCGCCGGACGCTGGACGACAGAGTATACGGCCACTACAGTCTAGCTAACCGTTTACCTTCCCACCAAGCCGACCTCACGGTAAGAGAACACGACGTCGTGGATGCAGAAGATGGCGAGTACTGGATTAATACCATAACGGATCAAGTAACGGCTGGGTGCTAAGAG